AGGCAGAAAAAAGAGAGAGAGAGAGAGAGAGAGAGAGAGAGAGACAGACAGACAGACAGACAGACAGACAGACAGACAGGTAGACAGACAGGTAGACAGACTGGTAGACAGAGGGAAAGAGTGGGGAGAAAGAGAGACAGACATGGAGAGAGAAAAAAAGACAGGGATATAAAAAAAAGACAGACAGACCGACAGAGAGGGAGAGAGAGATGACAGAAGGACACTGGAGAACGAGTAGATTTACTGAAAGTTAAACTGATTATTCCTTTAATTACGGGGATATGGGTTTTTTTCAGTTCTATAGAGACGAAGTAATGTATCTGTGTCTATTTGTTTATTAGAATGTATGTTAACTTAAGCCAGAAACAAGTCCTAGGCCTACAGTTCATAGCCGAGGGAGGCAGGGGGTTTCCTAAAATATGTGATAGAATTCACAAGCCTCCTCTTCTTTGTTAAAGGTAACTTAGTGAACTAACTAAGGTACCACATTTTCTCATGACATGACAGCATCCCTGAGCATCGCCGTAGCAGCGATCACCGCGCGTGTTTTCGCGCCCCGCGCCGGGCGATACGCGAAACAATGCACTGTTGTTATAGATCGCCGCCACGAGTGTCACCTCTCTATTAGATCAAATTTGAGAAAAAAGTTTCCTTTCCATGGATACGGCGGCCATAATGGATTTTGTTGACTTGTCTTACGTAACGAATACCGCCGTGTCGTTCATGGAAATTGATTGGGTTTTTTTTCCTTCTTTCCAGGCATGTTAGCAAACATTAGATCTAAAAATTTCTAGGCCCCGGGACGACCAACCCCAACCCAGTGCGTCCACTGGTGGCGGATAGTGGTACGGCCTCTAGATATAGAGGTTAGCTGCAAATATCTAAATAAGCAGTCGCAGACCAAATGGCGGTAAAGATGGAGGTCGGGGTGAAGACTGTGGTGTGGGATCCCATTCTTCTACTCGATGTAAAATACCCTAAAAGTCCGATGAAAGACTCGCCAGCGAGACTGGGACACCCCGGGTAGATGGAACTCGTTAGCCAGGAATGGCAGTATGGCAGTTCATCTAGGAGATGGAAAACTCTGATAAAAAACACCCTGCTGCCTTGCAGGCAAACCCAGGAAAGTTACAGGATATGGGAGCACTCCTTGACAGTAAAGCACGCAGAAGACGGAGAGGTGGACCGAAAGGTGCCGATAGTCGGGCTAGCCCAAACCGCCTCACGCAAGTCTCATTATGATGACAGGATCCCCCCAAAAATTTCGATGTGGCGTTTCATCTGTGGAATCCCGCCTGGCGGATGGAATGCCTGGCCCTCTGCCTCGAAGGGGCCCACCCTAGGCTTCCTCGGTCACTTGGTGGTACCTCTGTCTCTTCCTGGGGAGCCAGGAGAAGAGATCAGCGGAGTGCGACGACTGGCCAATCATCTCCAGAGAGTCATAAGAGACCTCTAAAAACCTTCCAATTGAACTAAGAAGTAATTTACAACAAGAAAGATGCCATAAAAGACACCCTCCTCAGAGAAAGGATTGACATAGTCTGTCTGCAAAAAGACACACCTTACTTCAGCTATGAGGCTACCAAACCTTTAGAAAGGATAACTACGCACCTAAAGGAGTGCTCTCCCTTGTCGCAAACTCCATCCCGGCGAAAGAAATCAAGGTGCAAGATACAGGTGAGTCAGAAATCATAGGAGTCGAGCTCAAACTCCCAGACCGGATTGTAACAGTCTGCAACTGCTATGCACCTCCTGATAAAGCTCTCACGCTACAATAAGTGATGGACATTCCAGCAGAAGACTGCTTAGTAGGCTACTTGGTGACTTCAACAGTCATTCCCCAAGCTGGGGATATAGAGACCTAGATGCCAAAGGAGAGGAAATAGAAGACTGGCAAGCTTTCACCAAGCTACACCCGCTCAACAAACCAGACGATGCCCCCACTTTCTTCTCCAGAGCCTGGAAAACCACGTCTCACCCAGACCTGTCATTTGCCAGCAACAACATCAGCTGAGGATCAACAAAACAAGTCATGGAACAACTTGCAACTAGTGACCACAAACCCATTTGAATCACCTGCCAAGTCTCTCTCCCCCCCCCCCCCCACCATATCAACTAGCACCTTGCAAAGATGGAACTACAAGAAGGCAGACTGGACCAAATTTGCATCTCTTACAGATGTATGTAAACCAAAATTCATGCCAAAACCTCAAACATCAACAGAAGTGCGAGGGCGTTCACACAGGCCATACTGCAAGCGGCAAAAGAGTCGACCCCCAGAGGAGCAAAAAGGGGCTATATTCCAAACTGGTCTGAAGAGCTCAGAATGCTTGACGACAAAGTCACCGCACAAAGAGAAGCAGTTGAAAATCTACCAACAACAGAAAACTACATTCGGCTAAAGAAAGCTGCAGCGGAATCTAAGAAGGCAACTAATTCAGCCGTTCCGAAAAGTTGACATGAAAAGACAAGCTCCCTAAACTTACACAGACAAGGAAACAAACTGTGGAGGATTGTCAGATCATTAAATGGAGAAAACTTAAACAGGGATGCACCAGTAATACTTGACAAAGATGGCGAGTCCAACGTAGATAAATAAGCAGCAAACCTACTCTTTCAGCAGTACAAGGAAGTGGGCAAGTTAGAAATATCCCCAGACAGAACAGAAGAAGTACAGAGAAAAATATATGCTTTTGAATCCCCACTAGAACCTGCGGATGATGTTATGACCAAATCACTCTTAATGACAGAACTAGATAGAGCCCTTCTCCAGCTCAAACCAAGACAAGCCCTAGGCCCAGATAAAATAAACAATGACAAGCTTATGCTTGGCACCAAATCTGAAGTCCCTCCTCCAATACTCAAGTCACTGACACTCGACTACCTGGACAGAAACTTCCCAAGCAACCGGTGGGATCGAGTTTACACAGATGGATCAGCAACTGATGCAGTCAGAAACGGCGGTGGAGGTATCTAGATCTATAGAGTGGATAGATGGGTCAACAGAAAGCCATCCCATCTTCCAATTACAAAGCAGAAACATCAACACTCGAAACAGCAGCCACCATTCTCTTGAATCACCAAAAATCTAAAGCCAACACCGTCATCCTCACAGATGCCAAATCTGTCATACAAGCTCTCCAAAAGCCACAAACAGCTCAAGTTCGACAACTCATTTCATTCCTATGTGATCTAGACTCCCAAGCCAACACAACTCTGCAGTGGATACCAGGTCGCTGCGGCATTCATGGAAATGAAAAAAGCAGACGACTTAGCCAAAGAAGGAGCCAAATTGACACATATTGAAGATGGCATGGATCTCTCAGAGTCAAAGACACTAATAAAATCTGCCTTAAGAAACAGATGGAAAAGGTCCCACCCTAAACACAACAGACATGACCCCTACTGCATACTGAATAGAGCAGACCAGGTCACACTCTTTAGACTCCGTTGTGGCCACAACAGACTCAAACACCATACGCACACCAAATTAAAAGTGGGAGAGTCAGCGATCTGTGAATGTGGACACGACCAAGAGGATGCTAACCATATACTTCAGCACTGCCCGCGCTACGCCACCCTTCGTAAACAGACGTGGCAGAATGTGGCTCCCCTTGAGAGAAAGCTCTTGGGCAGTCTCTCAGAGTTGAAGTGAACTGCACAGTTTGTGCGCGACATCGGACTGGCTGTCTAACTGCTGTCATCGAGAACGAGGAAGAAGAAGAAGAATCTAAAAATGTGGCTGTTGATCTTGTCCCAAACGAATTAGAAAATTGTTAATGAATTTTTTCCCCGGAGGTATGCCTTTTCAAGTTTGCAAAAAATCCGTGAAAATCCACACTCGAGACACCACCAACAAAAATCTATTCCATATAATAAATTCAACTGACAAATTTTTAGTATTACATCTTCTCTTCATTCTATAAAAGTTTCGTGAAGATTGGATAAAAAATGGTGGAGTTATCCAAAAAAGTATAGAAATCTAGAGAAAAACTGCGTTTTGCGAAAACGGTCGAACAAATAAAACATGTTGACTTTATGAGGAAATGGTGGTGACAACATGCCCAGTATGGGAAGAAATAAGGCTTTGGGGGTTCTTTTGTGATGAAATAGTTGTAGGAGAGGCTGAGGAAACTAAAATACCTACCACTCAAATTCCATAATTTTGAGCCGAATCGGGACTTTAGGGGTGTAGTCTCTCCCCCCCCCCTCCTTTTAGGAATAATAATTATTTCTTTTTTAAATATACACGTATACCAATCTGCCCCAAAGGTTGCTTCAGTTATATTAATTAGAATACTAAAACATAATGATAATAATAATGTTACAGTTATGAATTTAATTAATAAGGAATATAATGATGATACATGTAATGATAGTAATAAAATATTTTTTGGGGTGTGTTTTGGTAAGTGTTTTTACGGCGGTCGCAACTGCATAAGGTCATAGGAGTGTGACATTTTAAAGTGATAGAACATTTTGAATTCTGCCCGGGTGGTAGCCGAAGCCTACTCTTAACGATTTTGAACCACCATAAGGGATGTTTAACGTGCGCAACTTGCATATGGGACCTCCGAGATTTTTCGCACTTGACCGAGAAGGCTAGGTGTAGATCTTTCCTCCCTAAGATCAGGGGTGTGGCTGAAAGACATCTGTAAGAAGGAGCCAAGGAGTAGCAGTAGAAAGACTGCAGAAATAGTCGGGAGCCCAGAGAAGGGGCAAAGGAGGTGGTAGCAGAAAGTGGAGTCGAAAGCAGACACAATATTATTGCTAGAGCATGAAAGGAGATGAAAGGAGACATTTTAGTGAAGAAAATGTTTCGATCGCTACCCGGATTCGAACCCGGACCTTTGAATGAGATGTGAACACTTTAACCTCTTGGCCACGAGAGTCCCAAAGTAAGAAGAAGAAGAAGAAGAAGAAGAAGAAGAAGAAGAAGAAGAAGAAGAAGAAGAAGAAGAAGAAGAAGAAGAAGAA